TTTTTTTTGGGTCTTGCGATGTCTCGTGTCGGACCCGTCGTTTCTGAACTCATGGCGGGCTTGCATGCTTTGGGGAGTTTTTTCTGTTCGGCAGACGTTTCATCTCCTTGTGCCGCCAGGGTTTCGGTGGTCGCGCCCGAGATCTTCCTGCGGCTCTGCCTTTTCCTGGGCTCGGAGGGGCCTTGTCGGGGCTGCTTATGTTCTGCCTCGCGGTCTCGCCTCCGGTTGGTGGTCGAGTGGCTTCGTGGTAGGTGTCCCACCTGCGTGCTTCTCTTGGCGGCAGTATGGGGTATTTTGGCGGTCCTTCCTTTTCCTGTCCCTGCTTAGGTGGTTACTCTTGTTGGCTTGGTTTACTCTCGGCTTGGTTTTCTGGTGGGGGTTGGGGGCCGTCGTCTTGCCACATACTGTCGCCTCTTTTCGTGCGGCACGGGCGGAGCCGCTTCAGCTTGCTTCGGTCTTGGTGTTGCTTCTGCACCATTAGTAAGCTGTCTTGTGCGTCGTTTCACCTCCGGCCTGTTCGTGCACCGCTTGCACCATTAGTAAGCTGTCTTGTGCGTCGTTTCACCTCCGGCCTGTTCGTGCACCGCTTGCACCATCCTGGTCTCTGGTCAGCGTGCTCTGTCTTCTCCTCGGTTGGTAGTGCCCCTTCGGTTCCGGTGTGTTTTTTCGTCGGCTCTTTCCTTTTGGCCTTTGCCTCTGGGGGTCGAGTCGCCGAGTTTTCTTGCTCCTTCGGTTTTAGTGTTTTGGTTGTTCGATGGCAGCAGTCTCCATCTTTTTTTGGCGCGGGGTGGGGCTGCTGCATTCTGGAGGGGTCCAGGGTTTGTTGGTGCTTCGTTGGTCGGGCCGGGGGTGTGTCGTGTTTTGTGTTCATTGGCGGCCCTCCGCTGTTGTTTGTGTGCCACGGCGTTTGGGTCCGGGGCGCGTTTTGCGTTACTCCGGTTCTGTTCTTCCCGGTTCGCGGGTGATGGTGTCCCTGGTTGTCAGCCATGTTCTCGCGGCTAAGCTGCCTGTGTTCTTCCCTCATGCCTGTGGCGTTCGTGGCTTCGCTGCTCTCGGTGCCGTCTGGGCGACGTGGCCTTGCGGTCTTTCGGGCATGGATTTTTGGTGTTCGTGCGGGGGCCTTGCTGCTCATTGTTCTCGTGTTGTTCCCGGGACTTTGCGGGGCTCTGGCGCCTTGGGTTGGCGTTTGCTGCCGGTTGTCTCGCTTCCGTGGGGGGTGCGTGGTGTCCGCCTCTCGGTTCTGTCCCTTTGACCTTCCTCTGTGGGTAGTTAGCTCCGGGGAGTCGACGGGGCTACCCCCAGAAAATCAGCGTTGGATGTAATGAAACGCCATTTTCTGGGTGAGACCCGGAGGCTTCCCGGCAACCCTCCCTCCCTCCGGTCGGCGGTTTTTCGTGTGTTTTGACATCCAGCCTCAGAACTGATGGGTGGATAGCCGGCATAGGAGGTCTGGGACTCCCCCTTCCCCCTCCCGGGGAGGGGGGAGCTGCGCAGACAGCGGCACGGTGACGTATGACGTCATACTAGTTTCCTTGTTTTCTGTTGAAGAGTTCTATCCACTAGTTCGGCTTTAGGTAGCAATTTTCACCAGAATAGGGGTTTGTTTTGGAATGCTTCCTACCACACAGGGGTTTCTATAGGCCATTGCTTCCCTTGCCTCTCTGAGGGGGCCAGGTTCTGGCCATGGTCCCCGGTAGGCCCTAGAACTCCATACACATGACTGATGCCAAAGTCTGACATTAGCATATCAGCCTGGTAAAGCTCCGGGGAGCCTCCGGGTCTCACCCAGAAAATGGCGTTTCATTACATTCAACGCTGGTTTTTTAGGCGATGCTGTGGTCTCAAGCTGAACAGCAGTGCTGGGAGTTCATGCTCCGTGCGTCAGGCTTGGTGGCTCACTCAATACTGAGGCCCCCAACACCTGGGAGTTTGGCCTACGATTTTTTTTTAAAATGGCGTCTGTTTACAAGAGCCCTGATGAAGGTGTGGTGAACCCCGTGTATCCACAGGTCGATTAAATCTTGCGTAGTACTCCAAAGCATCACATGATGCGATGCGCAATTTACTGCAAGTCGGTCAAAGCATCATATGATGCGATGCGCAATTGAAGGGTTAATCATCAAAACAACCTAAAGAGACAAAGAAAATAGAGTTTGAAATCAGAGAAGAAATCAGCCAAAAAATTTAAAGTCCCTAGTTTTGCGAGTTGTGACTGATTTATTTGTTGACCAATTTCATTCTGTCTTCACATAGTTATGGAAACATGCACTCTCCAGGATGTAAAGGTTACAACAAAATCAGATAATAAACAAAGGAGAAAAAACTAAAATCTTAAAAAAAAAATTACCCTAATAAAAATATTTTTGGGACATTGATGAAAATAACATATATTAACATTGGACAAAGTATGTATATGATATATAACAAAATAGATAATATTAACATAGTTATTCATTATTATTTGTGTTATTATGTATAACTCAGCAATGCTATAAAGGTACCAACTGCATATCCATTTTGCGGACACTTCTTACTACTATTCTTCTTCTTTGAGCGTCGGACAGGTGCTTGCATCTCTTTATTACTGCATAATCCTTCAGTTCCAATTATTAGATGTTCTCCTTATCAACAAAAGTGTTCTTATTTTTCAAAAATTAGTCTAAAATCAATTTTTGAAAATATTTTGATGAAAGTTTTACGACACTGAAGCCAAAAAGTTGGAGATTTGTTTTAACATTTTTAAGTTATTTTTATATAATTTGAATATTTTTCGTTACCCGGCCCCCAATATGTGCGGTAATATACGCAGTCTAAGGGTTAAGTTATGAGTGGTACACACTTAATGTTGCTCCAAATCACCTTTTTAATGATTGTTGTTAATGGACACAACCTTAGAAGAAAGAAATAGATGAAACAATGTATTTTTCTTGTCATTGAACAAATTTACATCTCAAAAATGCATCCTGAAAGCATCTCCTGTTGCAATGAATCCCTCACTCTAACAAATTTGGGATGATCCAATATAGTTCACTGAATCAAAGTTACACTACTGTATATTATTATACAACACTAATTTGTTTTTCCACAAAATTCTGGGATGGTTTACAATTGTAACTACAGTTGTGGAGCCATATTACATGGAGCATTGTAGGGAAGAATGTTTGTAAAAAAAATAGGAAATATTAATACTGGGCCTATTTTGGTAATTATCCTTAGTCATGGTGGATAAAATCTCCAGCATTGAATATAATACACAGTTTACTGGTGGGCCCCAGTAGTTCCCCCAAGCTTATCTCTGGTACCACAAAGCCTATACCCAACACACCAGGCCTATGAGTCTCAAAATTGCCTACTGGGAGCAAAGACCACAATCTGGATCATACTATAAGGGGAGGATATCAAAGATCAATCATCAAACTGGGGAAACCCCAGCAAAAGCCACTCTGAAACTCCACTCACTCTGGAACTACCCGTGTTAAACTCTGAATCTCCACAGGGATAGAAGGGAACAAACAGGCACAGTGCGGGGTTACAGTGGACTCGCCAGAAAATGGTGTTTTATTCCACTCATTAATTGATTTCTGAGAGTTCCCACAACAGCACCTTGAAGGAGAAAGCCAGCTTTTCTGAAAACAGTAATCAGACTGGATTGACCTGTGGGAGAAGAATGATAGGGAAGAGAGCCTGGGATGAAGAACAGTGGCCAAGCACAAAATGCCTGTGTACACAAGCGCAGCAAGACTGAAGGATATCCAAATGAGGAATGAGAAGGCATAACTTGAAGGACTGTCAGAGGCCTCTAGCATAGATATCAGCTATGGACAAAATAGCAAAAGAGCTGATACTAAGCATAGTGAAGGACAGATGCTAGAGAGAGAATTAGTAGGAAGGCCTGCTAAGCCACTGCATAGTAGTGGGGATGTGACACCATGAAACTATTGGACACATGACCAACAAAAGGAATGGGGGGAAGGAAATTGACGAACTGTCCCCAGGAGGCTGCACTGGAATGATTGAAACAATCCAAAAGAAGGGGAAGCAAATCCCCTTAGTAAACAGGTGTGCCAAAGTGCCATCAAGGCTGTCGCAAACAACTACAGGGTGTTTATAAATAAATATTGTAATTTTAGATGGCACTGCCGTTCTCTGTATGTTTGGGGGTTTGGCCTCTTCTTACATTGATTCCTTTTATGTATCTTGGTCATTGGCCCTCTTGCAATTTCTGTTGAACCAATCCTGTTTCCTAGTTCTGCATCTCTGCTTTGATATAATTTTTTTGTGCCTTTATCATATATTTCACAAAACTTGACATACATCTCATTTACTTCATGTCCTAACAGCAAGTCTTTCCTGTCAAATTCCTTAAGGAAATGTCTTGAGTTCCCCATAATAACCTCTCCTGAAATCAGGCTTTTCAGCTGCTTCAACCTCATTTTCTTCCAGAGTATAACGCATTGCATACTTTATTCTCAAAAAGACATGGTCACTTTTACCCAAGGGAGGGGGAGGTATTGAATGTCAAATATCTCTTCCTCTTTCCTGGTAAATATCAAATCCAGCATGGAGGGAACATCCCCTTCCCTCATCCTCGTAGCTTGTTAAGCACGTTGAAACATGAATGTTTCCAGGATGTGATTTGCGAATCTACAAGTCCAAAATTCCTCTTTTCTAGCTTCATATGCCTCCCAGTCTATGGATTTCAAGTTGAAGTCGCCGACTACCAACAGTCATGATCCATTTTTATCAGCTCTCGCTATAATCTCTCTCATTATTGTTATAAGACCCTCTCGTTTATTATTCAGCTCCTCCTTTGACCATGTGTTGTATGGCGGTGGACTATATGCATTTATGATCGTTAGTGTGTGCGTGCGTGCATGCAGTGTGCGCGTACTAGAGACCATACAGTCCATCCATAGTAGCCATAGTACTATGATTTTTGGAGGATGGGTCAAGTTTGATCATGTTTTACACCAAATTAAAGTCCCTTTTTCCCCCCACAGACTGGTTATTGGACTGCTTGTGATGATTGGTGTGGGTGTAATGAATATGTTCTTGGGCAGCAGTGGTCTGGAACTGGCACTAGCTGGTGGCTCCGCTCTCATCTTCTGTCTCTTCATAGTATATGACACACAGGTATGTAACACCACCATAAACTGTATAACATAGTGCCTCTCAATCAGCTAAAAGTTGGTATTGTTAACCTTTTAACTTAGTAGCTCTCAACTGAATAACTGTAGAATTGTTATTGCTATTTTTTTTCCACTATACATTTACTAAAGACCTTACCTTACCAGGTTCTGAACTTCATTATATTATTTAATGTTTTACAGATGATGATGCTGAAGCTTTCACCAGAAGAGTACATTCTGGCCACAATTAATCTCTACCTGGATATTCTTAACCTGTTCCTTGAGCTACTTCGCATTTTTGGTGATCGAAAGGGCTAAATTTAAAAGCATACCAAATCATGGTTGTGTGAATTAGATATAAAAATAAAATAGGTTGAAAACAAGAACTGTTTAACTAGCTAGGACACTTGAAAATTTGTACATGAATATTTAAACCCCAATTAATTGTGTTGACATACTGCAAATGTCTGAGTGCAGCCTTGCACATGCAATCCCAAACTCTATCTTCCTATCATTCCTGATTTTATCTTAATGTATTCACTCAAATGGTTTCTGCTTTAATGGTTCTCGTCACCTATATACCCGACCTCACTATTCTATCTTAAAGTAGCTACATTCATCATATAGCTATTGTACTCGGTGGAAACCTGTACAGCAAAGTGCCTCGTGCACAATATTTCACGCGATAGATCATTACTCGTCTGCTCTTATACAAGCGGCTCGCTTCCATCAAACAGTAGATTGTTCAAAATTCAATCTTCCCTTCATACACATGTAGCACATTTATAAGATATGAATAGACAATAAGTTAAGCACAGAGGACAAATTGCAAAAAATTTGTTCCAATATTATGGCTTCCTCGGAATACCATAGCAGGGAATGGGTACAGTTGGTTTTGTGTGGCTTCAGCCACTGGTGTACCAGTGAGACTGACCAACATTGGTATTTTCTAAAGGAGACTGCAATCTCTGCTCTGTACTTGTACTTAGTGTCTCCCAACATGCAGCACATTTCTTTATCCGGTTTACCTATTGTTCTTACTACTTGCCACTCATTAACTACTACTAATTCAATTTTTAAAGTACTTTCATCTAATACTTTCTATTCTTTCTATTGTACAGTGATAAGATTATTGAGTTTATCCGTAGAGAAACTTTCTGCATATTCAAGGTTTTTAATATGAATGTAGTACTGTATGTACAGTTTTCTTCATTGTGTTTTCCGTTATGCTTTTTTGCCATTTAGTATAATATATTATTTTTCATTACTTTGCAATAGGCCTATGTAATGGTATACATCTATAACCATTGATGTTGGAACTTCAAAAGAATCTGGGTTACTGACTTTTTTACATATGAACTGCACAATTTACATATGAATTGTCATTAGAATTACTGTATATTCATAATATTGATTTTATCATCGGGTAGAAGATTTTATTTCTACAAAATTTCCTATCACGCTCCAAGTTATCTTATTAGTTTCTTTATATTCTCATGTTTGAATCATGTATTAACAAATGGAGATCTGGGTAACAACATAGGTTTTGCATCTATTTGTAATGAATTTTATTGCTAAATAAATTGCCTAAGTAATATGTAGCAAATGACCTTTAACTTCATTGTCGGGGGACAGGCAGCCAATTTATACATACAGTACAATACATTTTAGGCTTTTATCGAGGTCCCCGCCCTTCCCCATGGTCGAATTACTGACATCCCCCCGGGATGCAAACCCACAAGAAGCTGATCAACTCCTGGGTACTTACTACTTGGTGGACAGGGGCATTAGGTGATAGAAAGCGCGTCCAATCATTTCTGTCCGAACCCGGAATTCTCATTTGCGAGTTTAGAATGAACCCAACTGCCCTACTGGGACCCTTACAGTAAATGGAACTACAAACTCCTATCTTAGCCAGAAATCTGAAAATATAGGCAAAGTTTTGTATGGTTCTACATTATGTACAGTGCACCTACAATTTGCATATATGTACTGGGTGTGCAAAAATATTTTACTAAATAGTAAAAGTATAAAAAGACAAATGTTACTGCACTGTACATAGAGAATCTAATTTCAGACACTATCTTAAATGTAGACACTATATAGACATTTAAGGTTCTCTCAGATATATGGTGGATGGGTTTAGAATTAAATCTAATTTTAAGATTTTTTTTGTTAAGATTGAGAACCCTTTGTCAGCACTTAAAGCATTATCTCACATAGTATTGACATTCTTTACAGTTACTCTGATATATTGCTGGCTTTTCCAATCCATTTGAACCTTGTATATACTGTCAAACAATTCCAGCACAAAAGTGTTTCAGTAAAGGGAACCAAAATGTTTAGGTCTATGGTGGTTTGTCATGAATGTGTGAATGGCAGAGTTTAGCTCTGGCTGGCTCATTCATACCCAACATGGCATCTCTAAGCTTTGCCCATATATTTTAAGAGTTACTGCATCATTTAGATGCAAATGGAATAGTTGAAGAAATGAAGTTCAGAAATTTGAAGAGCAGGTGATGTATTTTAGTGGTATTGGACGGATTACTGGTACAGTGCATGAATATTCAGACCACTAGTGTCAAGCTATTCAGTACCATTTTTTCCCTGATTAGTTCTGACAATTATTTTACATTCACCTACCCAGTTACTGCTGGGTGCACAGGAACAAACTATGCACAAATCTTCTACTTGCTCAGGGTTTAACATAAGATATATTAACCATGGTCACTAATATTAATCAGAAAATGTGTGCTCTTCAAAATACTGTACAGCCTTAATCAGTCAGGGGAATTCAAGTGTTTTCCGTGTATCCTCCCTGGATATAGGCTTCTGCTGCACAGTATAGTATTCAGACGAGGAGCCACAATAACGTGGCTGAAATATGTTGACCAAACCACACACTAGAAAGTGAAGGGACGACGACGTTTTGGTCCATCCTGGATCATTCTCAAGTCGATTGTCACAATCAACTTGAGAATGGTCCAGAACAGACCGAAACGTCGTCGTCCCTTCACTTTCTAGTGTGTGGTTTTGTCAACGTATAGTATTCTGCTTGCAATACTGGGTCCTGGATTCGATTCCCTAGTAGGATGCGATAATTGGATTCATTTTCTTGCATCTGATGCCTCCATTCACCTAAAAATAAAGAGGGCCTGGGAATTTGTTGAACATTGTGAATTACATCCTGGGGAATGGCCAAGCATATGCTATGGGGATCTGAATAACCCTAAGAGGTTGCGTGTGTCGGACAATGGGAGACCAGATACAGTACCACACCACAGTATATATTCACACTAAATACTGAAACTAAAAATTTATAATATTGTACATGCTCTCAGTGACTTCTTATATAAATGTGGTGACTAAACCACATATCAGAAAATGGAGAAACGATGACATTACATGACTCGTTTCAGTCTGTCCTGGACCATTATCGAGTCATGTATTGTCATCGTTTCTCCTTTTACTGAAGTGTGGTTTGGTCATCGTATCTTGAGCCATGTTATTGTGACAACTTTGTCTGCATTTGTATAAGTGTGCTACCATGGGTTCAGGCGTTTCTCCATATAAGATCTCAGAATGATGTCTTGGGAATGGAGGTGTTCATTGGGAAAGGAAGTGGAAGCCAAGATAAAGATTCTGAAGGTCAAGAACTATATGGAAGAAACTGTTCTTAAATTCGAGCTATCTTAGCAGCCCTACCAAAGTCTGAAATGTTAATTATTTCAAGGCTTCTGTTTTAAATTCTTTCAAAATGTGTGTACACTAGAAATTCATCATACGGTATAACAAAAACTGAGGTCAGGTACTGTATTTACTTTGTGAAATTGGAAAGTGCTTGTTCATCTCTTCCTCCTGTGTTTGCCTGTACCACTCCCCAGCCTTGACAACCAAGGCACTTTTACCTTTCACATTTGTGTATCACTGTCACTTTGAGCATAACAGGCAAAGACCTTATATTTAGCCTTAAAAATAGAAAACAAAAATAAATGCTATTTCCTCATTTTAAATTTAGTGCACATAACAATCTAGGTATGGCACATTCCCTTATAAGCTTTCTGCTCAAAATCACTTAACATGTTTCTGCTTGGATGTACTGCTATTTTTTTTTTTTTTTTTTTTTTTATGATGCCTTGTCTGAAACATTATCTGATTTGTTTAGATCATGGTGACAGGATGTTATGTATTATAGGAAAATGGTGCATGTGAAGGGAGATGCTCTCCAGTGGCCACAGTTGGGTTGGGGTGAAGCACTCTGTGGTGTTCTCAAAATAGGGGTTGGGCCAGGCCAAGATTGTATAGCCAAGTTGGACAGCTGGATAGTATCTATATATATACTTTGATAAAGATGTTCAAAAGGTGACGGTCACCATTTTCTTCACCTCCATTCTCCCCTTTCAATAAAAACTATTTTCCCGTTGTTTTTTCTCTCTCTTACCTTCAGGGTTTATGTGTATCTTTCGTGTTGCTTGCAGCTGCTTGGCGAGAGCAAGCCTAATTCTTTTTGCAAATTTATTACTTAGTACAGTATTAGCCAACTTAATGGCTTCAGGTTAGTGATATCCAAAATTGTGTAATGTGTTTATGTAAATTTTTCTGGCATACTTTCGAGATTCTGCCCCTTAAAATTTTATGTACATTGTAAGGAAGAAGTTAAACTTGCATTCCCCATTTCTAATTTGATACTATATGGTGTATTTTTCTCCCTGTATTACCCAAGAAATCAATCTTCATATTGATCTTTAATCTCAGCAAGGACAACCTTATTACCATGTATTGCCTGCAGAATTACTATAAATACAAATGACCATATTACCTCTCACTAAAAGGTTGCTGTTTTAGTTTCACAACACACTTGCTCAAGACCACAATTATCTTATGCATTACAGTATATTAGTAAATACAGTTAATTACTGAGAAAGTTGTATAAAATGTAAAAATTTGTAGATATATTTCAGCAAGCTTAATATTTTTTTCAAAACTACTCGGTATTTTTGCACTGTTAATACTGTATATGTAAATAATGATATTGTTGTCCGAGATCCTCATTTCAACACTGATAGAGGTATACTGTGTAACTGCCACAAGAAGTACTGTAGATACATTTGTATTGGATCTACAGGAGTGGGTAAAATGGATGTAATACTACAATGAGCATACAAAGCTGAGGTTGTTACCCAGTGGTCTTGAGAGCAGGTGCTCTTATCTGTGAAACTTGCACGTGACACACACACCTTCCAGAGCAACACGAGAAGATACCTAACACTGGTATTCACAAGTTTAGTAGTTTTCCCCATTTAGTTTTCACTGCATAACTTTATTCTTTGATGAATTGTTTTCTTAATGAATAAGAATTATATTGTTCTGTTATGGAAATATAAGTAGTGAAAAGGCCTTTATTTTCAGATTTATCTGCATTCTTACAAAGTTGCTGGTAATCACAGTACTTAACATTGTCATTAATCATATTTAACATGTTATTTTGTATAAATAGTGTGTTTTTAAATATTTTTAAAGATGCTGCAATATTGTAACATGGTGTCTAATGTTACGTTACTGTGACCACAAATAATAAAAGATTATACAGATATTTGAATGTGAGATTTTTATTTTTTAAATCAAATATATGTTGTAAAAAATTCTTGTATTGAATTTATTACACCTGTCGAGTATCAGGTTCTTCAAGGTGAATTTCACAACATGCCGTCTTTGGTACTTTGTCCTGCATGTGAAACACTCATTTGAACTTTTAAAAAAGTTAAGATTTTTTTTAATTTATATTTTAAGCAAGCTTAAAGAATTCTACATGTTTATCTGTCATTTAATGAAGCACTTGCTACTTGAGCAAGGAACAAAAAATTGGTGAATTTATATAATTACCAAGGCAAAGAAAAAAATTAAAATACAGAAGGGAGAAATACAAAAATTACAAATAGAATACTGATTACAGAGGAAAGGTATGTCATTTAAAAAAAATGAATGTAATGCCAATTTCTGAGTGAGCTCCCTGTATCTATACATTGATTCAGTGCCAAACTACAGTACTAGGTCCCCTCCGTGGTGCCTCCTTGCCGTGGTGAGGGGCTCACGTACACCTCCCTGGGACAGGTGTGGGATGCCTGTGCCCCCTCTCCTGCCCCCTCTTTGGGTGGTGTACGTGCTGAAGGGCACCATGTAGGGGCCTTGTGAGCCATTGGACCACCCGCTGGAGGGGTCGCTTGTGAGAGGCCGCCCTGAGTGGATGGTTGGGTGTCCAGGATAGGGCGATAGGGGGAATGGGGTCTTAGCACCAGTGTGGGAGAACGAACGAAGTAGTAGGACTCCCCTGTTGAAAAGGGGAAGCACTGCTGGGGACGACACAACCTTTCTGCACTGGCCCGCGCTCGGCCTCCCTGGCTGCCCTGGTAGGTGGTATCCCTTGGTTCCGGGTCCCATCCCTTTTGTGTTACCTGGTTGATGGGGTTCTGGGAGTTCTTCTACTCCCCAAGCCCGGCCCGAGGCCAGGCTTGACTTGTGAGAGTTTGGTCCACCAGGCTGTTGCTTGGAGCGGCCCGCAGGCCCACATACCCACCACAGCCCGGTTGGTCCGGCACTCCTTGGAGGAATAAATCTAGTTTCCTCTTGAAAATGTCCACGGTTGTTCCGGCAATATTTCTTATGCTTGCCGGGAGGACGTTGAACAACCGCGGACCTCTGATGTTTATACAGTGTTCTCTGATTGTGCCTATGGCACCTCTGCTCTTCACTGGTTCTATTCTACATTTTCTTCCATATCGTTTACTCCAGTACGTTGTTATTTTACTGTGTAGATTTGGTACTTGGCCCTCCAGTATCTTCCAGGTGTATATTATTTGATATCTCTCTCGTCTTCTTTCTAGTGAGTACATTTGGAGGGCTTTGAGACGATCCCAATAATTTAGGTGCTTTATTGCATCTATGCGTGCCGTATACGTTCTCTGTATTCCCTCTATTTCAGCAATCTCTCCTGCTCTGAAGGGGAAAGTGAGTACTGAACAGTACTCAAGACGGGACAACACAAGTGACTTGAAGAGTACAACCATTGTGATGGGATCCCTGGATTTGAAAGTTCTCGTAATCCATCCTATCATTTTTCTGGCTGTCGCAATATTTGCTTGGTTATGCTCCTTAAACGTTAGGTCATCAGACATTATTATTCCCAAATCCTTTACATGCTGTTTTCCTACTATGGGTACATTTGTTGGTTTGCTATATGGATGACGACTTGACTTCTCTTAGCCAGGCTCATGGGGTGGTCGACCAGGCCCCTGAGTCGGACCGTCCTGGAAGACCGGGATCTGTAGCCTCCGCTACAGAGCCCGGTTTAGGCCCAGGCCGGACTCTTCCTCCCTGCTCCCCTCCCTCTGTGGTTGGGTCGAGCCCCAAGCCTGCTGTGGTGACCGTCTCGTCCCCTTGCACGGCTCCATCTCTTCTTGCGACTACTGAACCTTTCAACCTGAATTATTGTCTTTTTTTTCTTTTTACTCCCATGTTCCATAGTACACTGGCTTTGCCTGTGTCCTCTAGTATTAACTTCATTATCCAGTGTTCCTGAGTGTATCTCTATTTATCCAGTGTTCCTGAGTGTATCTCTATTTTCAGGCTAGTGTTAAAGACTGTACCTCTCTCAACCAGTTTAAGATAAAAACTAAACACTACCTAATAAATTCCCTGTAACCCACCTCACTCCTTTATTGTCAACCCATGTCTGTTATTTTATTATTATTATTTTTTTTTAATCAACACTGTTTGTCAACCTATTGTATTTGTGCTGCTTTTTCAGTCATGTTCCCCCTTTTTTTTATCTTTATTTGTATTTGTTTTCAACACTTTTTATTCTTTATGCTCAATTAGTATTAAGTTCTAGATATTAATGTTTTTCTTGCCCGAAACGCATTGCGTAATAGTGGCTTTAGGCATTGTATGTACTAGCTCTATCTATATATCAATCCATTAATGTAACATCACTTGTATGTATGTACCTTACCTGAATAAACATATTTATTTATATTTATTTATTTATTTATTTATTTATTTATAACCCGTCTCTCTCTACGGGTTCTCATCGCCGTACCCGCCACGGCCGCTCTCGTATGCTCCCTTCCCATCCTCCTTCGTTCCATGCTTTGTTTGGTCCTGCTACATGGGCTAAATACTTTGACCTCCAACCTTTGGACTCAACTCCTCCTGATGATTTTTCCCTTCATAGGCATCTTGTCGACTCCGTGGATGCCTCTGTCACCTTCAGCCCTACTCGTCTTGGTACCCGTTTCGTTGCTGCTCCTTCTCAGGATGCGGCCACTCGCTTGGCCGCCTTATCCTGCCTTGGTGAAACCCCTGTTCGGGTCTCGAAGAACGCCCGGTTGAATGCCAGTGTGGGCACTGTTCTCCCGCACCATGTTGCGACCGGTGTTAGGGATCTCAGGGACTGCCACGAGGATATCAAGCATGTCCTCGAGGCCCAGGGTCATTCTGTCCTCCAGGTGGATACATTTACTCGTCCCCCTCGTGGTCATCGCCGTCTGCCTCTTCGGGTTGTGAAGGTTACCTTAGATGGTAGGACCCTTCCATCCTCTGTTATTCTTGCTGGTGCCAGGTGCTCCGTTCAGGAATATATTCCCTCTCCGAGGCTCTACGGTAAGTGCTGGAAGTTTGGGCATGGTACCCTCAAATGCTCTAGTCCTGTCTCTCTCTGTCCCCTGTGTGGATGCGAGGGTCACTCTAAGTTGGAGTGCACTTCTCCCCAGGCCCGCTGCCTCAATTGCGGTGAGGCCCACCCTACCTTCACCCGTGCGTGTATTCGCTACAAACTTGAGGCGGCTGTCTTCAACTTGGAGCACCGGGACCGTTTGTCTTTTCCTGAGGCTCGGCGCCAAGTTCATCGTCTCCCCTCTTTCGCCGGTGTCTCCTATGCTTGCGTGGTGCGCTCTTCCTCTCCTCGTCCTTCCCGCCTTCCTCAGTCTCACAACCGTTTCCGAGCCTTAGACCCGGACACACCCACCACCACCTCCCCTGTTTCCCTCCGTTCTGTCCCGAAAGGTCCCCCTCCTGGTCCTCTGTCTAGGGCTCCCCTCCTTTCTACCCAGTCTGTCACGTCTCCTGTGTCTTCTATTTCCTCTCCTTCTAGTCCTCCTTCCCGTCCTTCTCCTCCGTCTCTTGGCTCTCCACGCCGCCTGACTGTGCGGCCGACGTCCATCGCTCTCCTGATGGTTGTGTTGCTCGCTCTCGATCTTCTTCTCCTATCGAGACACTGGAGTCTGTTGCCCAGTACGTTGCTGCTGGGACACCTGTGTCTTTGAGTCAGAAGCGGAAACCTGGCTCCTCTCCTTCCTCCTCCCCTGTCGGTAAGAAAGCTTCGCTTTCTTCTTCACCCCCTCTCTCTGATTCTATCATTCCTTCCCCTCCCGCTTCGGTGGTGGTGCCCCCTGTTCCTTCTGTGGGGGTTTCTTTAGCCCCCGGTTCTATCTCGGTTACTGCCCTTGCTGAGGTGCGCTCCCCTCTTTCTGCCCCCCCCCCTCCTCCCCTTCCTTCTCCTCCAGACCCTGCTCGTCCACCTCTGGTTCGTCCTCCCGCTTCTTGCCCTCCTCCTTTACTCAGTTTACCCATGCCCCCTAACCCTGACTTCGCTGACCCTGATCCTGACTCTGTGCTTTTTTTTAGCGTGCTGTGTTCCTTCTTCACCTTTGTTTCTTCTTTGCTCTCTGTTGCTCTCCTCTCTCTCTTTGCTGATGTCTTTTCTCCAATGGAACATCCGTGGATTTTACCCCAATTTCCTTGACCTCCAACTTCTCATTTCACAGTTTTCGCCCCTTTGTGTCTGTCTCCAGGAGCCGATGCTTGGTTCTCGTCCTGGTCGCTTCCGTGGCTAATCTTTTCTCTCCCCTCCCCCAGCGACAAGGTCCATAATTCTTCTGCTCTCTTGATTCGTTCCGATGTTCCCTTTGTCCCCTTACTTTTTTCCTCGCCTCTCCACTGTTCTGCCGCCCGTGTCTTTGTGCATAGATGGTACACGGTTTGTTCCATTTATCTCCCCCCCCCCACTGTCCCACTTTCTCTTCCCGATCTTAGACACCTCCTAGACTCCTTGCCGGAGCCTGTGCTCCTGCTGTGTGATTTCAATTGTCGTCATGCCCTTTGGGGTGATGTGCTGACAAACACCCGGGGTCGCCTCCTTGAACCTTTCATCCTCTCTTCTTCCCTGTCCCTTCTTAATTCTGGTGAGCCCACTCATTTGGACTCTCGGACTCGCTCCCTTTCTTGTCTTGATCTTTCTCTGTGCTCGTCATCCCTTTCCTTAGATTTTGGGTGGCGAGTCCTTGATGACCTCCATGGCAGTGACCATTTTCCTATCCTTGTCACTTTTTTCTCCTTTCGCCCTCCTCTCTCCTTCCCTAAGTGGCGGTTTGCCGAGGCTGACTGGCGCCTCTTTACTCTCCGTACTGCTACTGTAAATAAATAAATAAATAAATAAATATGTTTATTCAGGTAAGGTACATACATACAAGTGATGTTACATTAATGGATTGATATATAGATAGAGCTAGTACATACAATGCCTAAAGCCACTATTACGCAATGCGTTTCGGGCAAGAAAAACATTAATATCTAGAACTTAATACTAAT